ATTGAAAATAACAAGAAATTACCTCATATAGTAAACATGAGCTGCACAAACATGGATGAGCACTACACAGTAGTTAATCTACTGTAAATTCACACCCTATATTACCTTGCAATAACTTGCTTTTTTATTCATTCTTTAAGTAATAAAATGCCTTATTAATGTCCTTATGAAACTCCTCCTTTCAAACCTTTAATTTTAAACTGGATCATGTACATTCTGTATTATGCATCTTCAGTTACCCATTTGCTATACAGTAAATCGACTAGTTACTTTTTTGTTTGCTTTTTGTCTTTTTTTCATCTGTAATAAAACTTTCTTTATCATCCTACAGACACCTGTCCATCTTAACAGCACTTGCTGAAACTTGTCAAAAACTTTTTTGGAAGTCTGAATATGAACCAGCTACACTCAGGGCTATTTTTCTGAGTTCAAAGAACTCTAATAGATAATAGATTACTCATTTTCTTATGGCCATTTGAGATCCTTATTAGTCTACTCAGTTACCGCCTTACCAGATTAATGCTGGACCCTCAAAGGCACATTTACCATAGAGATCTCTGTTGCTTGCTCCCAGACACATTGGGTAGTTAGAGAGGCACACCTTTCTATTTTTGGATGCAGTGGAGTACTATAGTTAGACTGCACATACTGCAAAAAAATAAGGCAGTGTCTGAAATAGTATGGATAGAGGTACCTAACTCCCACTGTTGTCATAATCTCAAAATGAGCTCTATTATTAGAAGAAAAATAGAAATAGTAGAAAAACACAACTTAATGAAAAGCAAATGTTCCTACACATGTTGTGTGACAATCTGCAAAGACTGAAAACTGAGTAGAACAAAACTGCACATCAGTAAGGCTTTACCTTCCTACATCTCCATCTCTCATATGCTAAGAATTGTATATTCTATGAGTATCAGTGTGGAGTTCCTATCTGATGTTTCAGAAATGAATGGAGAAGACTGACAAGACACAAAGTTGATGTAAACACAAAAATCTTGTTTTCTTAAGAGAACAGATCTTAAACATGTTTTTCAAAGTTCATCAGATACTTAAAATTTTCCCTTCGGACATCAGTATTTTAGTAGTAAATAATAAAGAAGCATCAATAATATCAATAAAATTATATCAATAAAATAATTCAATAATAAACTAATTTAATAGAGAGGCTAGAAAACAAGAGTGTAAAAGAGGAAATTCGAAACAGGTACTTTGGGCATGGGTAGAAAACAGTGAAGACCAACAGGGATTGGAGAGGGACAGAGGTGGACTCCCAGCCAGAATGACAACGCCATTCCAAGCCCAGCTGCTGAGGCTACATTCCTGGGAACCCCAGAGACTCACACTACTACATGGATACCAGAAGCAATTCTCACAAAAATGGGAATGGAAAATGAGCTTCCCAGCTGCTTTTGGAAGGAGGTATGAATTCAGAGTACCTCAGCCTCCAAGACACAGTTTGGCACAACACAGGGAACCAATGCACGAAGACATTCAACTCTCACATAGAAGTTCTTGCCCTTGGGGAAAAAAACAAAAAAACACACAAACCAAAAACCCCCACAAAAATACAGTCCACAGCAATACCAGTATTTTCAGAAGTCGCTCTTTCATATACCACTCCAAATCAATGGTCCTAATCTTATCATGAAACATAATTAAATCCATATATCAAGTCCTTTTCATACCAGCCAGGTACTTTCCAACAAGGTAGACTAACTCCAAGTTTCTGGAATGGCTTTAAACAATTGTACTATTTTTATTATTAGGTAAGTAATGTTCTAATCTTCATGCTAATTTATTTAAGAATGCTTTTTAAAAAAAATACTATCACATTTCAAGTGGTTTAAACACAGAAGTGAAAAGGGGGAAACTAACAATTCAGTTTCCAGTCTAGAAATGTATAGGAAAGTAGTGCCCTATTTAATTAAGTGACCCTGATATGAGCCCTTTCTATACTCTCCTCTGAGTTTTCAACCCCTTAATTATCCTGTCCTAAAGCCATCAGAGTTTCATAACCCAAAACCCTCCAACACTCCCATCTCAAGCCTTTCCCCCTTTCATCTCATACCAGTCATCTTCCCTGTTCTCTCCAGGTGTTTACTAAATCCTCTCCCACATATTTCTCTGTCTCACCTGTTTCTGCCTTCCCTCTCCTGATTCAGGCTAAATCCTGGTCTGTCTAAATCTAAAACCATGCAGCACTCCCAAGTAGCTTCAACAGTACCTATTCTTCTGCAAATAATTTTCCAAACTGCCAGCCTACTCTGCAATTCCTGCACTTCTATTTATTCAATGCCCCTGCTTCAAATCCACATCCATGTCTAGCCGTTCAAAGTCAGATATCCTGGTTCCAGGTCCCTCAGCAATAAGCCCAAGCCTTGCTGCACTACTATTATGTTTTACTGTATGCTGATACCTCTTATTGCCCTTGTCATGGCAGCCCTGTCTTCTCACAAAACCCCTGGGTCTTTCTTCCAAGACAGGCTTTAAAATCCAGGCTGGATCAAAAAAATAATCAGAGTGACTCTTTAATGACTGACAAAAGAATAGAATGTGTCCATGTGAAAAAAAAAACAAAAACATAAGCAGTAATTGCATGCTTTAGTTATGACACATTGGGCTTTGCAGATATATCTGAACCTTCCAAAACATCACTGTTTCAAGTGTGCTTAAAATAATGGTCTCAGCCTAGAAATTGTTATGTGCCATAAATTCAGTACTGAAGAAACAGATTGCCTTAAAAACTGTTCTCAACTAAATCCAAATTCTCATACTAAATTGAGATGAAATTCAGATTTAATCTCTCCAATATATAAATATATTTAAAATATATAATATATAAAATATAAATATATTTTAAAAACATAGCCAGAAAAATCACAGTGGAGAGTAGATGTCTAAAACTGAATGGACACAGGCTCAGGAAGGAAACTCACTGTCAGATAGAACTCCAGCTCTAAACTTCTCATTGACTGGTAAATTCCTTGCTACATGGATCTTTTTCATGATGACAGAAGATGACAAAAATATAACCCAACACATGCTTCTGTATTTCACTACTGAAACAAAGCCTGTGCAAACACTGCATAGATGAATACAAAACATAGCAGTCAGAAAACCAGCAGTGTCTGCTAGGAGCTGAGCTGTCTTTTGCTTGCTTGTTGCAAAGAGAATTAGCACCATCATTTTCCTGCTATGCAATTCCCACCTCTTCTGTGGGAAAGTATCTTGGAAAAACCCAGAAGCAAAAGCAATGCAGACACATTTACTACAGCGAATACATTTCTAGGCTACCCTTCACAGCCACTTTCACTCTTGAGTATACCTACCCCGACTGACTGACTGATGGCTGAACAGATTTCAGCTGCCACCACAGTATGCTCCTTTGCCACCCAACACAGCTGTGCTCAGGAAACTGCACTGCCCTTCCTATGCAGATCTTTCTGAATTCCTCTCAATTCCCCTTTCTATACTTCCAAATTTATCTAGGAGTAACCAGCCATGGTAGGAATACAGGAGTTTAAAAAGTATTTAATAGCTACACAAATGGCTGCAAGAAGACACATTGAGTTCTCTAGACAGACCTAGCAAACCACAGCAGTTGAAGCAGAATGGGTAAGGAATGATTTTAGGGAAAAAGTCTATGAACTTATTTTTCAAAGTTCTTTTCTGGAAAGATTGAAATGAAACAGATGTATTTCAATTTTTTCCCCAAGTATTTGTTTTAACCCTTTTATCCAAGGAGGCAGTTTTCACCATATATTTAGCTTTCAACAAATCAGCACTTCCTGAATGAAAATGTTTCACTACCAAAGTTTTTTGAACAGTTTTACTGACACATTTCACTTAAAACCAACTGAGAACCAAACTGACAGCTCTGAGTATTACTAGACAAGCAAACAAGAACAAATTGTCTAAATAGCATCTGGCTTTGTGCAAGACCAGGCCTCAGCACCATTAATATAGCCAGCACTCACATTCTCTCCCAAGTCCATCAACAAAAAGGGACTTTATTTTTTGACATACCCTTTAAAAATTGAAGGCCTATCTACAAAGAAAAATCTATTCAGCTTCCTAAAGTTATAAATGTACCCTGCATATTGAAATAAATATACTGCCAATAGCACAACCAGATATTCAAAATCCAAACATATAAAAATAAAATTGAAAGAAGCAGAGAAGCAAATACCAGCAGCTGTTGCAACTATTAAACATGCCTCAGAAAACTTAAAACAAACGAAAAACTGTTGAAACAGTCATTCCAAAATACAGGAATCAAACTAAGACATTCAAATTGTTTGTCTCCAGCAAGTAAAGAGAAAAAAAATTACTGTTCAAGGCAAAGTGCCTATGTTAGAAAATCTGCAGTTGGCAGCTTAATTAACTGAAAAATGTTCAACTTGAACAGCTTTGATGAGCTCAACTATAGCATATTAAAAATAAAAAAAATTCTTCGTGTGTAGCCATTTAGGACATAATTTAACAAGAAACATGAAACTAAGTGGAATTCTACCAGAACTCAATGTACATTTCACGTGCATCATGTTTGACAGAAGGATTATCATTCCCCATGCTAGTAAATACTTCATTATGTCTTTAGAGTGTTATTGGAATATAGAATTTACATCAGAACCCATTCTGAAGACTTTCATTGCCAGCACTGTGATGACACACTGGAGGAATGAGGAAGCAAATTGAATGGAAGCACAAATCTAAGACTTGGGTTTATTGTCTAGTAAGACAAAGCATGGATTCCATTTTTTATAACTTATTTTCTATCCTCTGCCTTTTCTCCTATAAAATGACTTCAAGATATTCTTGTCATCTCACAGAAAATCAAAATTTTAGTGGCTGTAAACACTTGAAAACAACAGGACGGAGATGAATTTTCGTGAGATTTACTGCTTGCACTGTATCTCAGTCCAGCCCAGTGCTCACACAGAAACCTGTAACAAACTTCTCCCTTGCACAGGGACTCTACTTCAGTGCTTACGTACCTGCTGTGTAAGGACACTGACGTGGCTTGGTGGGGAATGCTGGCAGGCTACTTGCTTTTCTTCCAGCTGCTGCAGTTCTGCTGCTGCCACACTAGGGCCATGACTCTTGCCCTGGGAAGAAGTATGTTCTGCATCTTTGTGCATCCTGGCAGAGCCCACACACTGCCCACTTGAACTGCGATGGAGACCTACCAAACAAACATTTCAATGTGCTTAATGAGCAGTATGTCAGACTCTCAGCCTGCTGATCACACACACAAAAGCAGGCAAGATACCAAGAAGAATGCAGAATACATCTATTCTGCATGAGTATTGTCCATATGAACAATGAGCAATTCCAAACCTGCATTCTCTTAATTACAATATATCTAATGGCACCCAATTCCACAGACACTGGAAGCTGTTACCCAAGTTAAATCTGTAAAGTTTTTCCTTTACAACAAATGGATCTCTTTAAGTAAGTGTGGTGGGTGCCAAACCACCACATTAAGCTACTCAGTTGAGAAATAAGATGTATTTTAAGGCTAGAAGGGTTGTCAATATATATATACAGCAACTCTAGTAAACATGTGCTGACCCTGACACACAACCTAGAACAAATATACCATCAAAATACAAAAAAAATTAGTATTATCAGGATCACAGCTGTTAGCCCGTGTGTGGTTCCCAAAAGTTTCCAAATTGATTACAGTCTGCATGCAAATTCCTACAGTTTCTCCTACCATTCAAGCTCTTTACACTCTAAAGCTCCATTGCTTAACTGTGTTCTACCACAGCATGACAGATGAAAGGTCTCTAAATCTTATTTTTGGGATACCCTTGGATATGGCAGTGCTGAAACATCCTAGAGAATGAGATATTGTAATGATTCATTCAGATTCTTCTTTTCTGGAGGTCTTGACACACCTTTAAGTATCCAATATGTATGAGGTTTCATTACAAGACTTCTATGCTTGATAGGCAACCAGAGAACTAAAAACAGCACACAGGCTGAGACAGGACTTCTGCTAATGAAAACAACATTAAACCCACTAAAGAAAGATGAGATCAGTAACATAATAAAGAAAATATACAATACTTAATTTCACAGCTCTTTATGAACAAGTTCAAAGGCTGACCTCAAAGCACAAGGCTGAGGGGAGACCTTGTCACTATAACTACCCAAAAAGAGGTTTTTGCGAGGCAGGGGTCAGCCTCCTCTCCCAAATAACAAACAACAGGACAAGAGGAAATGGCCTCGAGTTGCACCAGGGAATGTTTAGATTGAATATTATGGAAAATTTCTCAGCCAAAAGGATTGTGTTCAGTGTCAAGCACTGGAACAGGCTGCTAGGAAGCAGCTGAGTCACCATCCATGAAGATATTTAAAAGACATGTAAATGCAGCTTTTAGGGACCTGGTTAATGCTGGACTTGGTAGTGTTAATTGTTGGACTTGGTGACTTGAAAGGCCTTTTTCAACCCAAATGATTCTATGATTGACTGTTCATTTGGTCAATAACAGGGTGTTTGCCTAACAAGGGCTGCATCCTGCACTCCTGCTTTCTGTGACAAATTTAGCACCATCCAACAAGACTCAATTCGGGAAATGTAAAATTTCTACCTACTCCACAACAAAAATTACACAATCTCTGTACTGAACTAGCAGGTTGTTATGAACCCCAGTACACTTACCTACTTTTGTAGAGGATGGTTGGGACAATCTTTGACTATAGATCTGAACAGCTCTCTGAAAGGATGAGAATGGGCCAAAGCTACCAAAACGACGATGTAACCCTGCAAGGCTACAAGTCTCAGTGGACACTGGGTTTGTGAGGACAGAAGAGCTGTCAGGAGCTGTGCTCTGCAAGGAGGGTAGTGGGGGTGGGGACTGAATCAGTCTGGGACCAGCTGGAGGAGCCGGCAATGAAGGGTGACCAGCCACATTTAAATTTTCAGAGGCTGCAGGCTGAGATGGCATCCAAGAACTGGTACTTCTCTGGAACATGGCAGCAGGAACAGAGGAAGAAGAACCAGGAGGGCTGCACTGAGGTAATTTCACTTCAACATTTGAGGAGGCGAGTCCTTCTGGAACTATACAAAGATAATGAACATATTATATGAGGAAAAATCTGCTTTTTAGGTCCTTTGATAATATCAACACACGAAATGCCTGTATTCAGACACACTGAAGCCAAAATGACCTCATCTACTAGCAGAGACAAGAAGAGGCTCTCCATAATAAATATCTTCTTTCAAAGCCTTCCACATCTAGATCATCCCCCCCCAGGGAGGGGCAGCTAACTCTTTCCCACTGCCTACCCTACAGTATCTGCTCTTGTGTTTAAAAGTAAAAATTGGGCATTTTGATCTCTCAGTTTGAGCCCAAAGGTTCTAACCTTTGTTTAAAACAGTATAAAAACAGTATATGCAGTCAATATTTCTTTTTTTATGATTGTTTAAGTCAGTTCACTTACAGCTTGATTTAGCTTCTTTGGGTTTACAGCCTTTTAGTGCTCCTTCTGCAGACAAATCTGCAACTGAACTTTTGGGTTGATCATCTTTTATTTTCTTCACCATCTCAGGTTGCTCTGTAACAAAACCAAGGAGTTAGGAAGTAGAACATTGGAAATCACCAGAACAAACCTGCAGAATTCACCTGTGTTATAAATGACCTTATTGCTAATACTTCCTGTAGACCACATAACTTCATTGGTGACAATTACGCTGTCATGTACAGGAGCATGAACTACTTGATACATATGGCTAGCACACCCTTCCATGGAATGCCTAATTAGGCTCAAATATACAGTCTCTGCCCTCCCATGGATACACTCACTGCAGGCAGCTTGATTTCATTCATCCCTCACTTTTATTTCATGATTCTCTGCTCATTTCAATTCTTACTGCCTTCAGTTGCACATTCTCATTTCAATCATGAGCTACCATCTCCAGTTCTTTATAAATGCCAGTCTAAGTTCAACCCATTTCACTTCAGGCAAAGAAGGCAGGAGTGAAGTTACTCTAGTCTTCACATAAGAATGAGTTAAGAAAAAGACATGCAACCTCAAAAAACCTGAGTAACATTGTGGAGAGGTTGTTCTCTTTTCATAATTTCAGTTAAACTAGATTTGTCTGGACAACATCATCTCAGAACTGTCTGCAAAACTTACCACCATGGGGCTGCTTCTCTGACTGGTGATTGGTGTTGCTGTGTTTTGTGCCTGTGTTTTTTGTTCCTAGGAAGACACTTGCTGATTTGTTTTTGTGTGTGTAAAACGTCAGTACTTCCTCCAGGTCACTTTCACTGCAATAAGGAGAGAATGGATGTAGATGAGGACATTAAGCTTTTCTGCATTCATGTAACAAAGACAATAAACAGTAAGGAAAGTGAAGAGTGGAGAAAGAAAAAGTAACACTAGACAAACTAATGATTTGCTCAGTTCTACAGGGTAAGAGCAAAGAGCAGAAGGAAGGCAACATGCCCTGGTTGAACCTCAGATTCCCACTAAAACACCATCTTCTTATGCAGTAGAATATTCAAGGCATTCAGGAGCCTTCCCAGGACAAATAAAGAGCTAGTGAATACTCCAAACACATCTGGGGAGATTAGCTCAACATGAGAGATTCCATTCACAGCTGATTTTGTGCATCTTCTGCAGGTGCTCTTTAGAATGAGCAGCTACTTTCTCACAAGTGTACTCAGCTCAGTCTCTATTTTATATTCACCATCAGCAGTTTGTATTCAGCCGTAGGGGGAGAAGAGGAAAGAAGGCAAAAGGTGTTAATTAGCCAAAACTCCAAGACAACCAGAACAGTCAATATTTTTGTGAAACTCACAAAACTTGCATATGTTTCTCATTTTCTTTACAAGAACAAAGTGGGACAGCCCCAATATCCTAAACATCTACCAGTCCCAAACCAGTATCAATTAGTTGGCCATTCTTATTAGAGCTTGTGCAAGCCGTAGCTCCAGTTGTTTGGTATCTAACATGCTTTCCTTTTGCTTTATAGTGTTGCCTCAGCATTAATGAGTGGCTGTCTGGCATGGCAAACACCAAAGCAAGTAGTATAGTGCCAGCAACACTACAAGAAAATGTAACACAGGAATATAAATTAGCAGAGCAGCAGGCAGAATCTTTCAAAATATCCTCTGAATATTATATATTATATCACAATTGTAACTAGTATTAACTAGCCTAAGCTTTGGAAAAAGGCCATATCTAAAGCTGACACACTGAAATTTGCAGCATACCCTGAAAATCCAAACTTCACTTTCTCTCCCAGAATAAAATTGAAGAGGAAATATAAGAATGAGAAGTTGTTGATGGGAAGGTGCTTTAATCTTTTAAATTAATTTACCAGTATGTATGTGCATTTACAATGCACTGAGGACGTCTAGAATCAATGGTCACAGCATATGCACAACTAAACACAATGACATCCACGCGATATCAGTTAGAGAATCAATGAGACAAAGAAGAAGCAACATTTATTACCCATTTTCTCCACTGTTGAATTCACTGTACTGAAAAATGAACTCTTAAAGTAGAAATCTATCCGCTTTGGTTGGCTCCAAATGACTTGCTCACTGATTTAAACTTGAAACACAGTGCCAAGTAGTGTCAGATATCAGAGTTTTCAAACACACCTCATACTTCATAAGAAGCTGAAAGATCATCACTAGAAATTGTCTGATCACTGGCAAACTATTCTGTATCTCTTAGTCAGACAAACCAGCAAAAATCTCCAGCCCCAGCCTAGACTGCGCATCAGGCCATGATGGCATGGCGGCCAGTAACATGGAAACAGAAGAATTTGCAGTTCCGTTCCATGCAGCTGTCTCTTAACATTTCTGGCAAAAAGCAAAATGACCTGCCCAGGACACAATAGACATTTCAATGGCCAGAACAGTCAGAGAACCAAAAGCATGCCATGGGCCCACATAATGTGCATTTCTAGGCAGAGCAGTAGCTCCTATGGTGTATGGTAGTTAGGCATCTTTATCTGAAGATTTTTCTGCAATCCTGTGAATCTATTGCAGTAATGACACCATCAATTATATTAGCAAAAGGTAAAATACTTGTTTTCATAACAATGTATCAAGACAGACTGAAAAACCACCTGACCTTACTTAGGATGCCCAAGCTACCCCCCACTTCTAATTGCTCACTATTAGTGCTATCCAAACAGATAAAGAAAGAGCACTTTAATGAACAGTCATGCAAAAGAAGAAGTGACCATCAAACTTCACAGAAGAAAGAAGAGGGGCATTAAAAAGGCAGGAAAACTCTGTCCAGATATTGACAGGGCTTCTTGTCCATATATTGATCAAATAATGGAGGCAAGAGGAATTGCTTTTTGTGCTCAACAATCAGAGACTTTGAAAACATAACTGTGGTTCACTGAATTATTCAGACCTCTGCATAGTCAGATAGTTATACCATTGTTTTTCATACAATGCTATAGGCCCTAAGGAATACTTAACTATTTTCAAAATATGTCTCTTACCAGACTCTTTTATGTTTAAAGCAGATAAAGTGCAGTGATAGAAAATGCTGCTTTTCCATTGTGAAAGTAACTGCTTGCACTGAACTGCCTTAGCAGGCCAAATAAGAGGCCTAACTCCCCTCCTTGCTCATCTCAGAAAATCCAGATCTGGAAAATTCCTGAAGAGAGGCAGCAAGCATGAGATTTCTTTCTGAGAGCAGAAACTTGAGTCAGAGCTGTAACAACTGTTCAACCACAGCAGCTCCAGATCATCTGAGCAGCAGTTTTAGTTTCATTCTCCTTCCAAAGTACTGCCTCGTTTGGTCCAGCACCACAGGAAAAGAGACCATTAACTCACTAGCAGCAGTTCGAAATTTATACAGGCCAGGGCAACCAGTGCTGTCCTTTGGGAAATTACTTAATGGTCAAAACATCTATTGTATGTTCTTCTCTATGCACCAGATGCTGATGTTACAAGTCTTTGGTTGATGGAAGAGAGACAAGCTCTCTGTCCCTCACCAGGAACAGGTCCAACAGTCAATAAAAGTATCTAGAGGCTTTAGATCAATCAAATCATCTTTAGAACAATGCTTCAAGGCTGGGAGTTCTTTCATCAAAGGGAATAAAATCTATTCCTACCTTGCTCTGGCAATGAAGTTCTGAAAATCTTCAGGATTCACTCCTTCCTCCTCCTCTTCCTTTTTTGGTTGTTTCTGAGCCATCTGCTTTGTTTCCTGTTAATAAGCAGTATCAGTAAGTGTCTCTAAGTTCCATGGCATAGCTACAGCACCCAGAATACAAAAACCAGTTCCACAGGATCTAAGAAAAAAAGAACATCGCCATGTGCAACAACCTGAGTAAATATGGAGAGCCCCAGAGACAACATCCTAAGCATACACTAAAGTCCATTCCTCCATCTGACACAACTGATTTGCTGAGAAAAGGTCAAGTCTTCAAAAATGTGTGCTGTTCCTTCAGCTACACTCTTTGCTAGAACATAAGGAAGTATGGAAGGGAAAAAAAATTAAATCATTCTTAACAGATATTAGGTGCCCTCTCCACTTTGCTGTTTCTGCCACAGAGTTCCTCCAAACAGCTTTTATTTGTGCATTTGTCCCAGAAGTAGATAGATAGAAGAAAGAAGGGTGAAAGTAAAAAATTCATCTTAAACAAACTGAATGATGTCCGCAAAAAATCAACAGATTTTCTACTATAAACTAGTAGCTCTCTTGAGTTAATTTCTTTTGTCAGGAAGCAAATTACTGAGGGCTTATACACATCCCAAAACCACACTACTTTAGCAAAGACTAAGTAAAATAGTACAGCCTATGGCAAACATGTTTATACACTGAAATATACTGGAATAAATGGTAAGCCTTTAGGGGTGAAAATGGGAGCAAGCTTTCAGAAACAAATGGTCTATTTTACAACAGTAGAATTTGCAGGAACTTGAGGCTAGATTGATACAAACTTTTTTGTTCATTGAAACATCAGTACCAGCTTAAAAGCTTTATCTTGACTTCCACTTCATTTCTTCCTGCTGTTACCCTGAGCATTCTCAGGAAAAAAGGGTCAGATACATCTTTTGCAACATAATTCAAGACAGGGAAGAAAAAGCTGGTCTGAGACATCTTTACCCTTTCCTACTTAAGTACATGTCTGGATAATAAGTGATCTGTTTAATTTGCTGGAGCTGTATTCTTTTCTTCTGTGACATTACAGATGATATGTAACGGCAAGTACGAGTCCCTATTAAATCTGAAGTTACAAGTCAATTAAAGAAGTCTTTATGTTGGAATCAGAAATCAAAAAACCTCACAGCCTAACAAGTCTCTCAAGGGCTTAAACATGTATGCCCTGAAACGTCAAGTGATACGTTCTCACTTGTTTTAACTGAGAAAATATGTTTATGCACTGATTTATTACCAGTTGCACAGCTTTATTTTGTGAATTTATTTAAGAGTTAGCAGAAAATCCTAATGTTTGAATACAATTTGAGTGGAAATTATATCCAAAGCAGCTGCATTCTTCACTCACCACAGAGCCACCCAAGTGTTTTGTGGTTCCTCCTAACAGAGTACTTCAGTGAGCATTAGGCATACAAGGCACTCCCTGGAACAGATTTGGTTCAATACCAACCTTGATTAGACAGATCAAGTTACTAGATGTCAGTTTTGACAAGGTAATGTAAGTGAACACCCTCTCTTAATGAGTAGAAGCTTGGAGGCCTCTGCACAGCAGCCTCTGAAAGCTGAATTTCAATTACCCCTGTTCCAACACTGAAGAAATGCTAGGGGGCAAAGGAAAGGGGAAGCTTAGGTTGAAACCACTATGCTAAGAACAACACCTCCTACATCCAAACATGTGAAAATTATTTAAATTAGGACCTGCATCTCCTTAACATTGAGCATGCAGAGTATCTTACTACAGATATGCAGCAGTCCCTCAGTATACCAAATAAATAATAAAATATATATTTCATGCTCTTCTGTATAAAACAAAATATCTTTAATGAAGCCCCATAAAAATAAGAAGTGGGAAGAGGCATTACAAAGCACTAGAATCAAAGACAAGGCAAAGAAAAAGCACACTACCAGTTAAATTCCACTTCATTTCAGCACTTCTTTTTATGCACATAACTACTGGCCAGCACGTATTATGTAATAATATTGCTGTCCATCTGACAATTTCAGCAACATACCATTATTGGATGCACAGCTGCAAGCAGATCATGTAAATAACAGAAGTGTGCCTTTGAAACAGCCTGCACAAGACAGTTTGTGAGAAGAAAAGTTAAAAAAAATAATTAAAAAATAATAAGTCACCTTGTTATAATAAATGATGAACTCGCCCAGCTGGCGAGCCAGGATGCGACGACGATCAACTAGTCCTATGCTGCGGCTGGGGAGCAGCAGCCTCAAGGAGTGACGAAGGTTGCTGGCAGCTCGCCTCAGAAAGCGGATGATGAGCTCCTGGCAAGCAACAGAGATGGAGTTAACAACATGCTATCTCCAACATGTGGGGAGAACAGAGATACTACAGCATCTAAGGATTTGCAGGAACTAAACACATTGTCCTGAGAAAATGAGCTGAAACTGGAAGGCGAAAGCATTCTGCAATATGTTTTTTTAATACAGCCCTATAAATCCAATGTGGGGGAGAAAACCAATGGTGTATCTTGCCTGAGGTGGGTCAGAATTTTGAACACTTAAGAAGTGTTTGTCTCAAAAGTATGGCAGATAAAGGGAAAAAATAGCCAATCAGCAAAATGCAGTAACACACAATAACGTGTGAAGTCCAGTATCTTAGGAGAATTCTTCCAAAAACACACCTGCAACATGTTAAACAAAGCCTATGAAAAAGTACACTGACATAAAACTCTCTCAGCAGTACCACAGGAAAGGGGATCTTGGCCAGATATCTTCATTACAGTGGGTAGCCCCATTTCATGATTTTTCATATATATACATACATACATACATTTATATACACACACACACTATTGCTACATCCTCTCCACAGCAATAGATGTCTACATCTACAGCCATGTAATTTCCAGTCCCTCACCATGTCCGTTTGACCTCTGGTGGGGAAAAACATATGGCAAGGCAGATCCTAAGGCAAGATGCATCCTGTGGGTGTTTTGAACCCTTTCTGTCCCACCTCTGGATTAGCTTTTGCTTAGGAGCTCTGCTAATGCATAAATGAGCAGCCTCACAGCCAAACTATTGGATTTCACAGCTTGCCTCCCACTGCCATTACTCCAGGCTGGTTTGATCTGTTATTTTAAACATTATTCTTCACAGAACAGCAGACAAAGTGACTCTCAAAAAGCCCGTTTTAATTTCCACTTGGAAAGAGCAGAGGTAACATTTTCCACTGAGTTGAATGATTATTCTTGACACAGAATTTTATCGCTGAACTACATTGGCTGTTTCCCTGCAACATGCACTCAGTGAGAATATATGCAGAAAGCTCAAGAGCCTACTGTCCAAAGCTCTTTTAGAAAGGTTTGTGAAGGGATCTGGGCTTGTTGTGCTTTTAAAACGCATACATATCAAACACAGGACTTTAAAATACTGCCTAGAAAAATCCATCACTTTTACTTTCTCTTCTCACTGGCTTTTACTTTAATTTCCTCTATCTAGAATGCAAGTAAGGTTCATAAACACAGATGTCTGGATACATTACTACAGTACATAAGAGAAAAACCTTAGCTGGGTACCTGTTCTATTTGAGTAGATTAATGCTTTGCTTAATGCAGCAGGAACCAGATCCTAACAAGTAATCTTAGAGTATCTTCTAGAGAAGGATTCAAGAGCAGGTAAGCTCAGAAATCAGTAAAGGAGAACCAACAAGTGATCTGAGTAGCTTGAATGTCAACAAGATTTCAGTCATTAAGAGCTGTCTGTCATTGCTCTAAGGTCAGTAAGCAGTTCTACCTCATCTGTATGTTTAAAATACAGCACTGGCAGCTAGACAAAAATGAACAACCATCATCTCAGTTGAACTTCTGTACTTGTAAGGATGGGAACTGACCTCAAAACTCTCAAGGTAGATTTCAACTTGGCTTCTCACTCTGGCCAACACAAAGCTTCTTACCATTTGCTCATCCTCTTTGGCAACCCAGGCAGGATTCTGGACCTGCTCACCAGCATTCTTCATCAGTCGGAGCTGAACATGCTGTAGATAGGCAGAGAAAGCTGTACGAGCTTGTACTTTGCTGTGGACAAAAAGAATCCATCAGTTATCTTCAGAATAGGAATGGGAAGTGTTACAGAAGTCAGGCACAGCTTATGGACCAAAGTACAGTCAGCAAGGACCTCCTAAGTGCACCAATGCTGAAGCTCAAAGAAAGGAGGACCCTTTCACCCCATCAGCATTTTTAAGCAGACATTCAGTTCACCAAGAAGGGGTAGGTATTCCAGGAGGTACAAAAGATAGTAGACACTCTCTAAGATAAATTCTAAAAACAGAATGTTCTTCCTGCCTTTTACAGCCTTGGTTACCCTCCTCTAAAAGCCACATGGACATCAGCAAAACTGTTTTTAAAACAAATTCAAGGCTCTACTGGGCCTCTGTTTTCACAAACATTTTGAACACCACAACAACAGACCATAAAATAAACAAAGGACTTGGTACTGGTGCCAGAGTTATAACAAAGGCCCTGTAATTCCCATTGGAAATGAAAGAATTAAATCTGTGAAAGTGAGCTCTTCCCCTGCTGGCTCAGGAATACAAGCCAAATTTCATTGAGCAAGGCACCACTGAGGAATGAAGGAACATCAGCAAAATCTGCTGTGCAGCTGGCTGAACACATTGGGAAGCTGTTAGCATGAACTGAGGAGAGGACTGGGAGGGACACATAGTTTCTCATTTCCTCACAATAGTAGCCACTTTAGTATATGCATCTGTTGTGAGAGAAACTGCTGAAAGCTCTGCCGAATTCTGTTCACTGTCCTCTTGGTCTAAACCTATCCTCAAACATTCTGCTCTCCAAGCTTCTGCTCATCCTCATAGTTTCCCCCACAGCTGCTAGAAGCTTTTCATAAGGATATAGCAGCAGACTGGCTTTAGTATCAGCAACAGATTTCTCTTTCTTAGGGAAAATCATTAGAAAGTGTCTTAATATGTTCTGTAGAATTTCAAGTTTCGTCTTAAACAAACTAGAGTTTTGAACCCATTACTTCCCAGAAATATTATTCCAGAACTTAATGTTCTAATGAATAGGAACTTCCTCTCCTTACCCAGCCCAGCTTCACTTATGAGTAGTTTATAGTTGCTTTTGCTTTCTCCAGTGTCCTGTATCTTAAATATAATCCCTGATGGGTCTTCACTTTAAATGTCTTTATTAACAGTTACATCCTTTCATAGTTTTCATTTTATTAGTGTGAACTATCCACATCTGCCAGTGTCTTCTAACAAAGCACCCACAACAGTGACATGATGAGCCAGCAGCTCACCTCCACCTGTGTGCCACTCACAACTTGCCTTCCATGCATATGGGTGATACAATACTCCACATGAAGTCTCAGAAGTATGTCAAGTGATAAACCCTGGAACACATTTGGTGTTTTCATGCATGCATGAGCTAGGGCTTCACAAACTTCCTCTGATCAACCAGCATGCAAGATATTTTTCCTTATAATTAATTTCTAGTTGATGAACACCCAGCAGAGAGAACTTCTGCTGTAAATTATTAGTTCTTATAAGCATCCCATTGTACTTTGTGCTACTGAATTTCATCCTAGTTACATTATTTATATCCTCAAGGTCATCCAGTTTTTCTCATATTTAGTCCACCACTTTTTTCTCATGGTAGTAACACCCAAATATTTTCCATCAGCAAATTTCATTGGCTCATTTGTACATTTTGCGTCATTCTTGAACTGATAATCAATATCAGCCTCAGACCGATTCCTGAGGAACTTCACCATATTTTTTTCTACCATATTCTGTTCTCTGCTTCTTACGAATATTCTCAGGTACTTACATGGTCCTTATGACTCCAAGTACTTGAGTCCCTGAAATGCTATTAAAAACTCTGCAGCAATTGTGTCTTTTTGGTTTATAGGTCTGCAAATTTCAGGAACACTATGTTACAGTGTTACACAGAAACCATACTGTAGCAACACTTATAGAAATCAATGCATCAATTTAAGTAAGAACTGAAGTTAAAATGCATTGGAAGTATCCATATATCAGCTTAATCATCAACTTTTGATGCTTCTGGAAGGTCACACAGGGCCAAAGAGGGGCTAAGCCAATGACAAGTACACAAGAGTCTCAAGCTAACATCCCCTGTTAATAGCTGTACTGCAGCAACTCAAACATGATTAAAATACCTGGTTACAATTTCTGTCTTCCAGGAACTTCAGTGAAGTCCAGAATGCACAACAGGCCTTGTAACATCTCTGAGCTCAGTATGCTACTAGTCACTCCATCTACCTTTTCTTTCTCCATGTGTGGAATATTGGGAGAACTCTCTGAATCCTAGAACTGGTACTCTCTATATCAGGCCACCATGTATTAGAAAAGGCTCTCACCTCAGCTCTCCAGAGCTGTCAGGCTTGGTTTAGGTACAACTCAAACATCTCTGTTCAAAATTTGTGCTTGATAAGGAGCCCCCATTATCAACATCAGCACAATAATACAGGTCTTGGCCTGCACCTGATACTTCTATGACTAAAAACTAAAGAAGGTTTTTGTTTAATACTGCCTCTCCTTTGATGTCAATATCAATCAGGATATTGAAACCTGAGACCTTAAATGCAGGAAAAAGTAACTTCCTTTTCATTTTACTTCCTTGGGAATGGCACAGCTGGGGAAGCAAGTTTCCTTTGACTGTCATTTCTTCACCAGTAACACCCAATATGTGGAAGGTAGATGCTTCCTCATCAGGCTGACTAAAGGAGAAAGAAGTCCTACCACTTACAAAAACTGACTAGAATGGGCCTGGTTTCTCTTGGATGAAAACTTTATTACTTCAGCTCCTCTGCCTGTTGAGCCCACAAGCAAAGCTTATATCAATGACAGATCAGATGGGGTCAAGCCCAGCACAGTCTCAGAACATGAGGTCACCACAAGCCTTATACCCTTCTGTGGGGAATCCCAACAATGCTGAGGTGCTGTGAGGATGCTGAGCAAGATTCTGCCAGGAACATCAGACAGAACTTATGTTCTTGGCAGGAGTCAGTTCTATACATAAGTAGATATAGGCACAGCATTGCAATGTTTATCCTCAAAAGAGGTTTCAGAATCTTCCCCATCACAACAGCAAATGTCCTTGCCACAACTAGACATCAGAACAATCCCCAAACCTATTGAAGAATCCATAGTTTCTCCCAGAAATTAAACTAAGAAAACAACAAGAAACATTTACTCTACCTTTGGACATTTTTCACAGAAAACATAATGCTGCTTCTTATCTAGAAGATTTAAAGCCGTCCTATACAGACATATATGATCATCCTTTCTTTTTGTACTTTCTGTCCATCTGCAATTAGACAGTTTTGCTACCCACATTCAAGGGATCGTATTTCAAAACATCTAGTTAAGACCTTGCTTGGTGTTTTTCTATAGAATCTCCTCCAGCACATCTCTTTTTTTCCAAGAAACAGAGTCATGCACCAGAACATACTCTATTCCACACCATCACACCAACAACATGCAATGAAATATTCCAGTAACTTGTCGCTCTCAAATTACCTCCTAATCTTGTTCTCAGAAGGCAATGACCCTGAGCAAAGATTACTACCAGAGGTAAAAATTCTAGCATCAAAAATAAAAGTACAAAAATGAGAAAACTAATTTTATGGAGAGACAGCACTGAGATATTCCTATCCAACTGTTCTTGGATAATTTAACATATGTTTATAACCACTTCTTGGCAAATACAAAGAACGAGAATAAAAGATTTAGAATTCAGTAGCAGGCATCCTGCATTAAGGCAAAGAGGTATTTTAGAAGCCTGAGCTGACAAAGAACAGCTTACACCATCAGATTAAAGAACAGCAATGGAAACTATAGGGTCATGCTTCACACTGATCCAATAGGTCAGGCATTTAGGTAAACTGTCAAGACTCTGCAATGGTCTCCCTTCTCTGCCAACAAGATGTTAAGGCAGCCTACAGTTAAGACAAAAATCCAGGCCACTTTTCTAGGGTCTTCTTAGCTCTTCACACTTGTAACATGCATCCTCCGTATTTTAACTCGCATTAGCTTCAAGTCAAAATTAGAGGCAATATGCAGAAAACTCTCACCTCAAGTTTCCTTGCTTTTGAAGAATCTGAAGCAAGTTAAACTGAGATTTAGAATCTGGTTTTTGCAGAAGCAGCTCTTCTCCATCTTCAGTTTTCTTGCTATGCTTTTTTGGTAACCTCTCCTTACAAGTAGTTTTCACTGAGTCAGAGAACTTTGGCTTGTTTTTCACCTGGGTGTCCGAAAGACAGCAGATAGTTCTATCTACCTCTTCATCTTCATCTGCATCCATCTCCTCTTCCTCCTCACCTTCTGTGTCTGACTTGAGGGACAGCTTTGTTGGTTCTGATGTGCCTGTAGAAGAGGAGAAATCCCTTATGCTGGTGTGGAGAGGACTGTTCTACTATTTATACCCTTTGGTTTACCCCTAAACTCCTTTCTGCTAGAAGGACAGAACACCACCATTTTAGAACAGCATCTTAAGTATGACTGTTCTATATTCATCCTGCCTTTCTGCTTGTGCATCAAACAGTTGTGAAGCCCATTTTCCCAATATTACAGAATACAGACCAAGATTCTTCTTTTAACCTTACAAATGAAAAAAAGAATGCCCACCCAAAATCCAAGAGGCAAAGACATTTTCCTATATTTTATCCTGATTCTTACATGTATACTGACATATATACACCCATACTTGATATATATATATACACACACACACACATTTTTGTGTGTTGTGTGTCAAATGAAAAAAAAATACAAAATCTAAACTTCCACATGTGCCAATAAAGATCATCTACCTTAAGAGAGCAGCAAAAATCATCTTATAACATCCAACCTTTCCTATTGCAGTCAGTATCACATAACTATTAGAAAAAGTTTAGATAAAGGCAGGAACAATCACTTGTGGGGATCATTCACCTCTGTACCCTTTTAAGTTTTCCCAGCATCAGCTTGGATAAAGATTTCTCTCCCCAACAGCTTAAGAGACACAGCTGTCTAGGAGAACTGATATGAAAGGTTCTATCTATCTTTCTCTGAAAAGCTGAAGAATTACAGAGGCACACACACCGTTGAAGTCTTTACCCAAAATGCAACAACAAGCTCATTTCCAAGTAATCACTGATTACCTTTAATCATATACATGAGGGTGTGGAAAGGTGGGAATGTAATTCAAGGCACTAAACAAGCAAGAAGCTCAGAATTAGAATGAAGAAAAAACTATCTACATTTGAAACTGAACAACCCCATTCACAGACATTGCAAATGAAAAAGAAAGTCCTTTGCTTGCTTTTGACTAGCTGCTCATCTAAAACTGTAGCCATGCATACCTGATGCTCTTGTCTGTGCTGCTCTAGCCTTGCCATATCGCCGACGCTTCCGTAACTCCAGTGAAATAAGCTTTCTCTCATAAAAGAGAGCATGAGAGTCCACAGCTTCCAGTCTTCCATTAAGACCTGCTCTGGGAAACATAGTACAGAGACATCCCTCAGTTTCCCTTTGTCTTTCTGTCCCTGATGATACAAGAGACCTAGAAGATCAAACTTCTTCAAAGAACCTTCTTCCTGATACAGGGAAGAAATATTTACCATCAGTCTAATTCTGCTTTTTTTAAGCCTGTACATGTTAGAAGAAAGTCTTGTACATACTTCACAGAACATCATCTCTCAAAGCCCCGAGACACACTCACCCAGTGTCACGCTTCCATGACTGAGCAACATCTGCCCATCACGCAACAGCTCAGGGCACAATTAACAGAGGAAATTGCAAGAGCACAAAACAACAAAGGGGAATGGAAAGAGAGCACATTGACACAAATCCAGCTGTCTGAACCATTTATGTAGACAGCTTGTTCTTCACTGATCAGATATAAGAACTTTAACATAATGTAAGTGGAAAATGCCAAACTTCCTACAAGCTCTACCTAAGTCAGGGGACAAGGAGCCCTACCAGATTCCTTAATGGAATCTGTTACAAAAGTAACAACTTTCTGCCAGGGCACAAAGACCCAAGAAAGTGCTCCCTTATGATATAGGTGGAAACAAGCACAGAAAATGCTCATTGTTTCACTTATTATTTTAGAGCTAACAAAGTGATTATGAGTATATGAAACCCTTGTGCATTACAAGATCTTTTGAGAGAGCTCAGTGATGAGGCTTATCAATATGGCAGGAATACCAAAGTGAGAAACCTATGAGGAGAAATTTTAAGGTGCAATGAAAACATGAGTTCTCCACATGAGGGTACATTCTTTTCTCACTGTATTTAGGTTTCTAACATTATTTTCGTGGATTTCAGGTAGAAAAGGTGTTGACTCACAACCTGGAAGATGAAGCTAAGGAAATCTAAATTTAGAATAAATACTACAAAGCACAAATTAATTAAGCGGCTACTTACCGGGATCTCGCAGTGATGAACTCTCTTTTCATCTTGCCCCTATGAAGAGAAAAAGGTTAAAAATTACTCTCCATACTGGATCAACCTTGATTACAAAGCCTCCCTAGTCTTTCACATATGCAATGGAAAGACCATTTTTACAGAATTACTTCTGAGTTCTATCTTAAAGAAGGAAAAAAAAAAAGGGCTCCAAAAGAGGAGCCCTGAGCAGCTGTACAATTCATGTTTGCATTTGTCTGGCTTAGGCTGGAGAAAGCATCATTTAGAACTACTCTTCAAGACACATCCCTGAACGTACACAGAGAAAAAAAAATCACAGCGTTGATGTGGGAAGAACTTCTGTAAATATTGTCTCCTTTCTCAGCCACTTTGTCTTTACTTAGTAGTTACTTCATAGTGGATCTCAAATTTGCACAAGAAGAATTGTTGAGAAGGGAGGGCATTAAACACGCAGTGAAAGGCACTGCATACAGCTCTTGGTGGGAGCTTAGCTAGTGGCATGAACTGTCATTTCCACCCAACCACAACCCAGAAAAAGAATCATCAAACCATGATTGCACAGGTCAAGACACACGGATATTAAAACACTGGAGAAGTCAATTTCAGGGCTAACTTTACATGAAGACAAGCTTTAATGCAATTTGAAATTTGAAACAAAAGGTAAACCAGGACAACCTATAATCCCTTCACAGAGAAACCTAAGTGCTTTAAGTTTTTTCATGTCTACAGTTATATCAGTACTCCAGTGATTCCCATTTTGAGTATTGTCCTTTTTGCCCTTGGTTTCAGAAGAGCAACACAAATACATGAGCAACAGTCATTGGCACACTAGAGAAGAGACACACAATTATCACCACCCCTATAAATCCCAAACTTGTGTTTATAACATGGGATAAGTGAGGAATCAATCCTTTTTGTACTGTTTGTGCCCTTTACCTCTCTCCCAAACAGAGAAGCTTTCTACCTGTCCTTAAACAGACGTGTAGCCAGCATGTAGTTCATTGATGTCTTGTGCTCTAGAAAAGACCTAGGAAAAAAAAAAAATACAGCATTATCAAGACAGAGCTCTACACAATGAAAGGCAGCATAATACAGAAATAAATGACCTCTTAAAAAAAAAAATCCCAAAGTAGATTCATACAAGATGCTGAACCACAACATAAAAGAGGAAAGGAGGAGAGCTCTCATTTCTCAGATGAAGTTCCTGGTGATGCAAGAGATGGAGAAAACATTACAGACTAGAAAAATAAACTTAGGAAAGCGTAATACAGTGTAACCTTCAGAATGAGTGAGTTCTGTATGGTGGTTATGGCCTAATGACAGGCATACACAGTATGCAGCTTGAGGATGTAAAAGTAGATAGCAAAAATCTGAAAGGAAGACACTTTTATTCTAACAGAAAAGCAATACCAGAAATAATGTCCAACAGCTTTCCATGGGGTGCAGTTGTGCAAATCAGCAGCTAATAAAAACAAGTGATCAGATAAAAGAATATTTAACACTTAAACAAATTCTGCCAGAACTTTCAATACATCTTTTTGAATGCCAAGATGGCTGACCTACACACATCTAACACAGAATATCCCTCACCACGGAGCATCAGTGCCATCCTATTAGATCTTTATTCTTACCCATAAAGGTCCCATGTTAATGGAGTAGGGAATATCCGGATGAAGCCTCCTCTCCGTTCATTTTCCTCTCTCACTCGCCGAAGAACTTTGATCTGATTAAAAAGAAAAAAATTAAAAAATAGCCAGCAAAATAGATAACAATGAAAAATGAACCTTTCAAAAAAAATCTCTGAATTTCAGAAAAGAAGACTATTCAGTCCTGCAAATGGACTAGTAGGTAGCAATATCCTTAAGGAATTTTGTCTTGCATTTAATTCTGAAGAGTCTATCACTGCTTCAAGAACATCTCTGCTTGGCATGATTGAGGGCAAGAGCAATACCAGCAGTAAAACTCAAATTCTGTTTCAAAAATTACACTACTTCTGTCACATTTTTCATTTACATGCACTTGCTCTTTGTTGAGCAAATAATCCCACATACTGCATGAAAGCCAAGGTAAATAAAAGCTATTTAATAGCCTCCTTACCTCCTCCATGGAGAGGCCTAGCACAGAGCTGGTGTGCCTTCCTGTTCCTTTTTCCCTGCCTAAGGGCATTGAGCTTTTAAGTTCAGCATCGCTGGCAGACAGAGGACGGGTACGCTGTAGAGATAGTGTGAATCCGGATTTTTTTCCCCTCTCTCTATTTTCATATTTAAAAAAATTGCATTTAAATTCCAGGACCCCATTCCCAGCAGCATCTACACTCCTGAGTAGATCATTCAACAAGAGGTGCTGAAATTCTGCACTATAGCCAGAATTCACAATTCCACAGCCCAGCTGTTGAAGAGTCCACACCCCAGCTGTCACTAAATGTGAGTATTCAGATTCTTAGATTTTAGCACAGAAGGCACAATTCAGGCATCACCACCAGTACTTACACCCCGGCCCCTTCTGGAAGAACAGGAGATGTAGCAAAAGCAGCAAAGTCAGAATGTCACACAGGAAAATCTTCACCCAAGGGGCACTAGAGTCAGCATTCACAGGACCCAAATACACTTGGATTCACACAACAATAGTACCAGAACCATGATTCTCTGTTCCAGCTGTGTTGCTACACTAGAACAACAGAACTGTAATTCCCTGGTAGGATAAATGTTGGAAGGAAAAGTTCTCCACCTGTTATTCTTTTGTTACTATACTGCTGAAGGTCAACTTGATACTTCTCAAACTTAACAGACAAATCCTGCAGAGGCACATAGTTACATTATGCAAATTTGCATAAATATGCAAATTTTTTAAATAAGGAAAGCAATTCATTTGCAGTGTCACTAAGTTTATTTTTAACCTGACGGGTATTCCTGGCCAATTCTAACAAAAGGATAGGAATTCAAAATGTCTTCAAATAATCAGGATTATAAAATTTTAAAATTCAAGCAAGACAAATCTTTGAACTTTTTCTCAAGTACATTTAAAATGGTCTTAGGCTCAGTTTCTATAAACCACCTCCGTAAAAACAGCACTAGAAGAGTCTACTGAGGTCTCAAGCACTTACACTAAATTCCAAGTTTCTTTTAGCTCTCTACTGAGCAAAGAATGCATAGAGAGCCTTAATCTAGAAAGAAGAGAAAAACATGACAGAAACCTTAAGGTGGATATGTCCAGGGGAATACCCCATACTGCTCAGATACAAAAAAAAATCCATGGTAAGATCAGGATGCATCTTTATTTGTAAAGACTATGGGAATTGAAATCCATTCTCTCCGTTTGATTAGAAATGGCAAGTGGCTATTCAGAATCTGTAGATGAAGCAACAGCAAAAAAGCAACAGGCATTGCACTAGAATAGGTTATACTGCAGTTATTGGCACAGAAAAATCCAAAGATAAAACACACATAACAGGTACCAGCTGAAACATTTTGTTAAGCCTAACTAAAACCGATTAAAAAGAGAAAACAAGATAATCCAGATGAGAAAGCAGGAGACAAACATACGCAGAAGAAATAAAAATGCCAGCAATAAAACAGGTTTGCTTGATGCTGTAGATGGCACTAAGTTGAAAGATTTTAGTGTTCCTTTCTAAACTTTCTTCCATTTCAAATTCACAGCTCAAAAACTTTTCTTAACAACTTCCTCTAAAATCTGATAGGAAACCTCCTCTTAAAAACTATTTCCTGGCACTACCATAATAATCCATCACCATGTGAGAACTGCTGCTCAAAGAGAGTATTACAGGAAATTCTTCATCGTATTAAATGATCTGCTTTACTAAGGAAACACTTCAATGGAATCATCTCCATTGACACAATACAACAGAGATGATTTCATTGATTACAAACATTAAATGTATGTCTACATATTGGCAGCTCTGACTCCCCCCGAGAACAAAGCTACATTGCTGTCAAAATGGTAGAGAAAACTCCATCTTTGCTGGACTTCCTGCACAAACAGTTTTTTCCATGTTTCACTTCAGAACACCCTCTGGCTGTAGCACAGAAATGTCTCCAACTTCACGAAGATCTTGTTTCCTCTTTGACCCAGCTTATCTATAAAAGTATAGATAAATCCAACCACACTGGTATGTCTCCAAATTCTGCAAGTATCCTTGGTTCCCAAATCATGATTCTAATTTAATAAGCACTGACAGCAGTTGGCATAAAAATCCTTCCTATTCTCTACAAAATCTTGTTATTCAGTAAGACTTTCCTCTGAGCCTCAGCTAAACTTACTCAGAACGACAAACAGCAGTGAATAGACTGAATTAGGTTCTAAAGATGTTCTACCTTCACTTCCTGGTGGGGAAACCCCGTTTAAAAAATAAAAAAAAGAATAATTCCCACTACATTTGTGCAGGAAGCTTAGTTGCAAAATAATGCTTAACATGTCCCCACATGGCCAGGTGCTTAGATTCGTAAACAAATACTGATTTGTCCATATGGCTTGCAAGAAGGGTGACAAATATAACATAGATCAGTCTCACTTAGGCTAACAATAGTCCCCTATTTTTCCATTAACTTTAAGAAATCTTTCTTTTCTCTGCATCTATTTTGACCCAGTTCAGTCTCCAATTTTTGCAGTGTCCTTCAGAGGACTGTCTCACAGAAAATGATTACGTCTCTTGTAAAGCCACCTGAATTTTGTCTGCATAGATTCTCCTGTCCTTTGGAGACTTGTGCATTCAGACTTGTAGTCTTAAAAACTTGGAGGGATTTGATCCAGCTGACCTTGACTCTCAGCACGCTTCACCTACTTTTTCTTTTTAAGCTGCTAGAAGTGATATAAACATTTTTTCAACATTTGCTTTTGCCACATGGAAACAGCTGGTGCCATCTCCTCATGTTGACTTCCTTCTCACCCCTGCCCTTACCCCAGGCTGCTTTAACTGTAAAATATATTTGGGGACTAATTATGCCAAAAGCATTCTACACAGTAACATTTGAAACCACAGGCCTTATACAGGCAATGGGAGCTGAAGGGTACCTACCAGTCTGCTATTTGTAACTGTGCAGACAAAGGACACTGCAAGACACATAAAGAGAATAAAAATCTTGTGTTCTCCAAGACACTATTGTCAACTTGTTGAGGACTGGCAAGTTCCCTAAACAAAAGAGTATAAGCAGAGGGTGGTGAAACACTGGAACAGGTTGGCCAGAAAAGTTGTGGATGCCCCAACCTTGGAACTGTGCAAAGACAGCTGGATAGGGCTTGGAACAACCTGGTCTAGTGGAAGGTGTCCCTGTCCACTGCAGTGGGGTTGGAATTTGATAAGCTTTACAGTACTTTCCGGTCTGAAGCACTCTACAATTCTGATAACTAAAGTCCAGAGACAAAGCTAAACATTTATATCACCTCAGTTGTGATCTTCCTCATATCTTTCACAAATGTATCCTGTCCCCATTCCAAACACAGCACTCATTCTAACCTCAGATGTGCTCAACTGTGCAGAATACATCTGGACACATGGTTTTCAAAAGCACACTGAACTCAATGTGATGACCAAAATTCATACTTTTGTAAGAGTCATTCATATAAAAATATTTAATAGCTATGCACCAAGGAAAAACAGATGCTGTCAAGTAAAACTGTTCATAGAGTGGGGGGGGGGGGGGGGGGGGGAAAGTAAAAATCCCATAATTTTGCAATTTAATTTCATTTAAATATCTGAACAATATTCCAGTTCTTATGGAGAAACAAGATACTATTTAACATTCTAACACAGGTGTAGAAACATCAGAATGTCAAGAAGTACCCTGTATTACTATTCTGGCATCAGGCCTACAAGTAAAACCAGTTAAGGACAGGGACTGGTTCAAAAGAAAAATCATTATTGGAGCTTAGATTTTTCTTGCCTTCAGTGGTATTCAGGCTGTCTTCCTCCTGTCCAACACCCAAGAGGAGCAAATGGTGTAAGAAAGGGTTCTCTGGAGACTTATCTATCATTTCTAGCTGTAATACTGACAAGTCCTTCTCTACTCTTCTCTTTGGTCTATTCAAAACTGATCAAGGTCCCGTCATTGTTTACAATTAATCGAAAGATCTCCAACCCAAATCAACAAGAATTACAAAGGAAGCAGCTAAATTGTCCATTTCCCTAGAGGGAGAAATGCTCAAAGAGTCAAACCAAAGAAATTGCACAAGAAACTTGCAGTCCAGCTGCTGAAACTCAGAAAAAAGAATAACCATATCAAGATAGTTATTCAAGAGAACTCTCAAGAGCACTGTTACCAACAGTTCTTCTCCAAGCAGCAACTTTTACAATGATTAAAAATGGCCTATGTGAATGAAAAGACATCATGGAGGAGGTAGGAAAAAACAAAAGAGGTTACAAATACCTTTTACAACAGAGAATTGGAACAGGGATCAAAAAATCCAAAAATCTGAGATAAAATGTATTCAGCAAAGAACAAGCTAAGACATTCTGGGACCACGGAAAGACCTAAACACCTATTTACTCATGGGATTTCCATTTAGGTACTTAAGAAAAAAATGCTGTAAAACTTTATCACTGGATTACAAACCTGTTCCTGTTAAACACAGGTTGGTGGAAGCACCCTAATCCCATCTCATCATCAATGCACTTTCGTACAAATCTTTGCACTTTTCAACTGGCCAGCCTTACATCTCTTTGTGGGTATTTGTTAAGCAAAACAAAGTTGAAAGCCTCCTTGAAATTCAGTGCTTTACAACAGCATCATTTTCTGTCTTATATAATTTTTTCAAATCATCAGGATCTGATCGCATTACTCTAAGAAGGGTACTTTTTTTGGAATGGTTCCTAATTTATCTCATGTGCCTTTTGTCTGCTGCAAAGAGCACCTATACAGAGGGATCTGTATTTAAAGCACTATTATATTTGTCTTAGAAGTTTCAGACTCAGACATGCATCCTAAAGATACTCAAATCCCATCTTACCAGCTATTCACCTCTAACGGTGACTAAAGACTCTGAGTTTTACAAGAGACAAAATATTGCCATTTCTGTGAGTTTTCCCTATTCCAAAATGGACAGTGTCTTGGTACACTGTCGCTAAACAAAAATTACTTGTCATTTCCTAACTGAACTTGAGCTACACAGCCATGTTGCATGTCCGTCACAGCACCATTAGCCAATGAGATGTCAGAGAGCAGCGCCTGCCTATTTGCCTGAGGAGAAATGAGTTGAAAGTCCAAGTGATGTAACACATCTCCCTGCCTTTTGTGAATGCTCCATTTCCACAGATATTTATGGAATCCACTTCATAGACAAAAGGAGATAGAGAACAACAGCCCTTCAACATTACAGTGCTGAGAAAGCACTAACTCAACAGAAAAGGCAAGGGGCAGTCACAGCAAGCCACATGAGGCCTCAGTCTAACGATAAATGGGAAAGAGAGATTCCAAAAAGAGAATGGGAAAGAAGCCTTAAACTTCAAATGCAAGAAGTTGCTCATCTAGGAGGATGTCTTGGAGACATTCATAATGCTCTAGGGTTCTGGAAGCTTGTTGTCCACAACAAAATCAAAGTGGTTGAACAGCCCAGAACTCTCAGGTGTATCCCCCAAGCCCCTGAGAACCACAGAATGGTTTAGGTTGGAAAGACCTTAAAGGTCATCTAGATCCAACCCCCCTCCCCTGAGCAGGAAAGCTTCCACTAGACCAGAGTGCTCAAAGCCCCATACAGCCTAGTCTTGAACACTTCCAGGGATACTGAGTCCACAAACTCTTTGGGCAATGTGTTTCAGTGCCTCACCACCCCCACAGCCAAAAATTTCATCTTCTGTAGTTATGCTAGAAATCCAGATCATCTTGCTCACTGCCTCTCTCACCTGTGAATCAAACTCAAGTGAGAATTACTTCCTCCTATGCTCCTCAGCCAGGACTTGTAAAAGTCACTTACCTGAAGCTTCTGATATGGATTTCTTTTGACACATTCAGATGAATGATAAATGTTCCGGCTTGACCGCTGGCCTGGATCCTGGCATACAAAGCCTATGGGCACCAAGAGCCAGGTGAGAAATTTAAGATAGACAAACCCTGAAATATAAATCTAGCATTCCTGTTCACAATCTTAATCTATAAATGACCTTCTTGTCCCTGCCCAAGGACCAATAAGGATGATTTTCTTTTTTATACCTTGCTTTGTTTAATCCTAAACTGTAACTGCATTACATTTTTTTAATAAAAACTTGCTTCAGGACCAAGTACTTAAATCTATAAATGGGTCACTGTATAGCAGCACAGAGATAGACTTGTTTATTTAAACAGCTGAGCAGGGTACCTGATGACAATTCTACTTCTTTCACTATTGGGGCAAATTGCATCAAGCAACTAAATCGAGATGCAAGGGACACTGCGCTCTAGACAGTACTCCAGTTCTAGTAACCCAATCAAAATGCACACATTTGACCTAAAAAATGTATGAATACTAACTCTGAAAGCTAAAGAAAGAGCGGTGTCTTCAAATACCAAATCAGGGACTCTTAAAACCACCTAACCGTCACAAACAGATAATTATTCTGAAGTTGAAATGTCCATATATCACTTCTCAGTGCTAAATACAGCTGCTCTCCTTAACAGGAGTTCACCTCCATTATACTCATCTAGCAACATGCAGCTCATAAACCTACCTTCTCCTGGCTTTAAATTAGGGAAAAATTGAAGGATTTTTTTTGTTTTACTCACCTACAAGAGTGAACATATCTGAGAGCATGCTAGCTTTGATCTTCAGGTCCAAAGGAGCATCACTGTCCCCACATGCAATAGAGTATAATAGGAATTATTTGTCTGGCATTAAATGAGAGGAATGCATCAGTATCCAGTCTATCTCCCAATACAGTTTCTTTGCCTTCTTAAAACAGGCAAAAAAAAGAAACCAGGTGATTTTCACATACACAGGTAAAAATCAGAGAGCAATGGATTAATCTGCTTATCCTTTTTCCGCAGCTTTTAGTGTCCTAATGCAGATACACACAACTTTGTTTAAACTCTCCTTAGGAATAGAAACATTTTCTTTGAATGTATGTATGCTACATTTCATGAAGTAGTTAAAAGTTGCTGTTGCAGAATTCTTAAAAACCACACTTAACTATGCCTCTTCCACATAAAATCATAGCTGAGAGACCTACAAAAATAAATCCTAGATTTCCATTAGAGTGTGAGGGTCAGCATAAGGGCCAAGTCAACACTCACTCTTTAGAATGTATCTGATTAGAGTACTAGACTGAGCCCAAGAACTCCTCTATGTACTCAAGTTAAGTGTAATTAATATGACTCTGCTTGGACTCCAAAATCTTAAAGCTTCTATCAGCCAAGAAGATTGAAATCCAACACAATAGTCTGACAGAGCTCCAAAATTTATCTATGATGAGAGATTATGAAGTGTTAACAATGATGATGGAAGAGAAATAAGTAAAAAGAAAATTGAATCCCAACCAGGTTCTTACAAAACCTTATTACGGCAGCAAGTTTGTTTATCCAAAGGAAAAAAGCAAAGGAGTATCCTCTCTGCCAATCAGCTGTAGAACAAAAATCTGCAGGCATCATGAAATCATGCCCTCCTAAGACCACAAGTTTCAAGGACAACCATCTCCAGCAACAGTCCCTGTCTCATTAAATTGGGAATCACTTACCAGGCCAATGATGGGGACAGGTTCACTTCCAACAGCCATGGTTTCAGAGTGTCATCAATAAGGACATCAAAACCATATAGCTCTGAAAACACAGCAGACACTTAAGTAAGCTCACCTTACTTCATCTTTAAGCATTCAGGTACGGTCCAACATTAGTCTCTACCAGGTCATTTCTGTCTAAATTATATATGTTAAATCCAGTAAACTCTCTAGGGATGAATAAATAATAACATTCCTCAAGTGGCAACTTTGACTTCCTCAGAACCAAACTTAAATACATTTTGCCTGTGGAGGAAAGAGGGGAACAAAAACATTAGGAAGTATTATATAGAAAAGTAAAAAACTCTTTACAGTCCACAAGCTGTAGCTCACACAGAACTCTTACTACTTGCTTTCACACAGAATTAGCATAGCAGGTTCAATCTACTCCTTCCACTGGATCCCAGAAACAACAAAATTTCATTCTGCTTTCTACTTTTTAATCCCTTTATTCATTGTTCCAGTCAGCTAGAGAAAATCTTGCTTCTTTCAAGCATCAGCTTATTTTCAAGTATTCCTGTATGTTTTCTGCTGCAACCATAGGGTTACAGCAGACTTCTCCTCGGCTAGTTTATACATGGACAACCTCCTATAACTTTTTAGCTTATTGACAGCTTGCCACTTTGCAGCAAACCACAACAGAAATATTTTTTCCTTAGTTTCTAAAACATTCATAACATATTACATCTGCTAGATATGTTCTGCTCTACACAGGTCAGATTGAAGCCAGCTTCTCATTCCAAATCTGATTTTACTATTTTGCTCTCTATACACATTTTCTCTAGTTTGGAAAGAGTTGCAAGAAGGATGCTACACAAAGCTGACTGTAAATCAGAAATTGGCATTAATGCAATTCCTTCTTCCAGCATTAAAAAACAGACTTAATAATCATCAGGGCAACTTAAGCAGTTTTTTTTTAAAAAACATCACAAAACAGGGTATTGGCAGAGAAGGATTTTCATGGAATTAACCAGTTCCCTAGTGCCTGAAATAAATGGAGGAGAACTTCTTTGTCATACTTCTTTCCTTGAATTCTGGCCTTGGCCTTTTGTCGCCTGCCTGATGTTGATGCTGGCTCTGGGGAGCTGGACCGCTTGACAAGATCTTCCTATCTAAGATGCAGACAGCTGTGCAAAAGCTCATGTAGCTTATAATGGGAAGTTAATGAGCTGAGGCAGGGGGGAGGCTTGGAAGGGGGGAAATGGCAGAAGAGTGAGCATTGCCTGCTCATTCTTCTAGAGCCTGTAGTCAGACATTGAACGGGAAACAAAACAGCAGAGAGTTAAAGAGTTGGTTCACTCCAAAGAAATGAGGCTGAATCTACATTTTGCTCTCTTGCTCCCCAGACAGGAATGGCTGCAGTAGAGGGAAAAGGAGAAGGCGGGGATTAGCAAAGCATTTTGACCAGAAGAAACTTCTGATGACTAATATGTTATTTAAAAATACAATCTCAAGTTTGGTGAAGCACAGAAAACTCAGCAGCTCATGCCCAAGGCAGAGAGGCAATGAGTGGGCCTGCAGCAGCTGCTGGTCTGCAACCTCCCAGCCCCAGTCAGGAAGCAGCATATTTTGTTTTGACTAGCTCCTGCTTCTTTTGCTGCTGGCCATTCCCTTCCTTGGCCCCTCAGAGGCCCTTTCCTAGTGTTTTGGCTCCTCTGACTTTGTTCTCCTCTCCCACACAATTCTCTTGCAAATTGCTTGCTCTTTTTAAAGCTCCATCTTTTCCACCCAGTTACTCATTCTGTCCACTTTTTCAAATACACATGGGAAACCTTTCGACCTCAACTAGCTCTAACCAAGCTGCTGGAGCTTCACATTCCTTTCCCTTGTGTCTGCCTTATTTCTTAGGAGAGTAAGTTTTTCGGGGTATTCCTGTTGACTCAATTCCATTGCTAAGCAGGGATTCTAAAGCCACTTGCAATGACTTAGGATCTCCTAGGAAGTCTCCACTGTTGCTCCATAATGCCCCAAGTTTCACATATTCTTAGTCATACCTACAAGCTCTAGACAGATGTCTCTGCTATCTCAGGGCATCAGGAGCTATGTAATATCCATGTTCTGGCAATTGAATCAAGCCTCACAGATTCCACACAGGGCTTAGCACAAAGATCTGCTCAACAGTCAGAAGCTTACCTAGAAATATCTTGCTGGCCCTCTTCTACATTTGGAAAATGTACTTCCTAGATAAAACACTGTAGATGTAGTACCCTTTCCACTGTGAAATTCCACTACCGCTTGATAAAATAAATACACAGGCAGGACAAAGATGTGGAGTCATACAAGCATGGGATAATCAAAAGTATATCCTCTGCAATTACCAACTTCAGCAAGACTGCCATTTCTCTCTGCAGAGAGAGTAAAGAGAACAACTGAAAGAGCAAAACATGCCACATACTGTGGCAATGGTAGGTTCACAACAAGACACCTAGTGCCACTATTGTTACTAAGGGAAGAACAGAGGAAACTAAGATATCAAGTTTCCATAGTGCCTTCTCTTGCTACTAGAATCCACAAAAACATGTTTCACTCCTGCAGTTTGCTAAAGACTGGAATTATATCAGGAGGTACCTACTGCTTCCAAGACTCCGCAGGAACAGCTGGCCTCTTCCTCCTCTAATCCCCATAGAGAAGTCACTGCTGACGGAGCTTCCCATCCTCCCAAAAGAAAGCCTAGCTTCAGAGTGCACTCTAACAGCAACAGTTCAGCCAGAGACTTTTTTCACCAGTGATATTATCTTAGACTAAGAAAAAGGCTAGAGAGATAGTCTCAGGCTTTTTGGTTCTGGTAAACTCCCATGTATTCCAAGTTTCTCTTATAGTCCTCTCCAAGACTGCACCAGCACTCTCTTTTACAAAATATCCCCAAAGAATTTCTTATTCTCTGTAAGTACAGAAATTAAATCATAAGTGATAGCACAGTAGCATAAACAAATTTTTCACAATTTTGTATAGCACGAATAAGCTCAGTTCTTAAAGGGTCACTGTAATTCTCGTCTTTCTTTGCAGCTTGCTCCCTGGGAAAAAAAAAAAAAGCTTTACTGCAAAGTACATACTCTACAACTAAATGGAGACAACCTGAAGTTATGAAAGGACACCAAACAGTGAGGAAAAAAAATGCATAGGACATAACTCTTTTGATATTGCAATAAAAACCCATCTCCTGGTTTTATGTAGGAGTATATTTACAGACATTCTAATGCAAAGAAATTTTGCAACTGAAATTCAAGTCTTCGATTTTTCCTTCCTACTCTTTCTGTTCTTCTATTAAGGTTTAATTCTCTTTTGAAGAGAACTTTATTTTAACAGAGAAAGGTTTCATCTCTATATTATTACAGAGAGGAACCCAACAAGAGGGGACAAAATTATTCCATATGTTTGTGTTCTTGCCCACTTCATGAGATGCAGTTTGCACCAGCCAGAATCTCTCATGCTAGCTCAGCCAAATGTGTGACTCCCCCACTCTGAGGCACCTTCTGCACTCCAGCTAACCAGAGAAAGCCCATCACCCGTAAGAACACTTCTCTGCAGAGAAGCTTCTTTACTTCTACTGAAGCCTGAAGGACAGTTACTCATGTTCTCAATAAAAGCGTTCAAAAGTGGATTAATTTCAAGGTACATACATAGAGAGTAACTTAAGTTGGAAGGAATCCATACGGATGACTGAGTCCAACTCCTCCTCACATGACTACCTCAGACTAAACCATATGACGTAAGGAATCATCCAGACAGTCCTTGAATTCGGACAGGATTTGTACTGGGCTCACTTCCCTGGGGAGCCTGTTCCAATGACTGATTAACCACCCACCCCGTGAAGAATCGTTTCCTAACATCCCACCTGAACTCCTGATGCAGCCTCATTCCGCTTCCTTGTGTCCTATCACTGGTCACCAGAGAGAAGTGATCAGTACATCCCCATCCACTGCTCTCCTTGAGGTAGTTGTAGACTGCACTAAGGTCACTCCTCAGCCCCCTCCAGGATCAACATGCCAAGCAATCTCAGCTTCTCCTCATCACTCTTGCCCTCAAGACCTTTCACCAACTTGGTTGTTCTCCTTCCAGATAAACCGCTTCTTGCTTTGATGAAGTAAAGACTACAGCTGAGCTTAGCTCATCATCTATACCAAAATCAGATTCAGAATAATCCTTCAGCTCTGAAGGCAGTAAAGTTAATAAGGCCACCTTCAAGGCTAACATTAAAGAATGGGAGTCTTGGTGCAAATTGGGCTGCCTTTATAATCCTAATCTTACTGAGTAAATAAATTATCACCCACAAGGTATAAACTTGTTCATCCAGTGTGTGATACCAGAGTAAGCAAAGAGTTAATATCTGAGTAACCACTTTAGGTAATCACTTAACTTCCATTACAACACTGAGAACGTAAGAGTAGATATACAGATACTTAGTCCTCAACAAACTCAAGTGCCCAAATTAACAAAATATAATACTAGGTAGACCAAAATAAAAGCTATCTGACTCTATAGATGGATACATGAGGTGAAGGATAGAGAGCGTTTCCCAACCTCATTAGCCCAAGTTCTTCTGATTTCAAGCTCTTACACTCTGAGAACCTCAGCCCCAAGAAAGCCATGAGACAAAATAACCTAGTGTTCCCCACTTTCATGTCATCTATCTGGTGAAGACCCTAATGCCACCACAAGAACCAGTGGCAGCAGAAGACAGAATGCGAAGCCAGAGTTGATTCTGACTTTTGTAACACAAGTCCATTGATGATAAATTGACAGTGCTGGTCATTTCTTAAGTCTTCCAAAATCAGCCATAAAAGCTTTTTAGGTCTTCCCCAGCCTTCTGAGAAAGAAAACTGGTGCTAGCAAGCTGAGAACAACTTCCTAAAGAAACAGAAAGTTTCTCCAGCAACAGGGATCTTGAATCTTTCAACCAAGCTCTGGGTACTAAATCATCAGTATCACATAGGCACCATTTAGAGCAATGAAGTGACAAGTAAGAAAAATGGTGCAGGGATAGACCCCCTGTTCCTATAGAAGCTATAACTAAAGACCTATTCCTTCAACTCATCCCTTCAGGCTCAGCTGACAGTTTAGTTAAATTTGAAGATATAGTTACATTACAAAATTTACCTTGCCCATGAGATCATCAAAACACCTGTCTTGAAGGGTACAGACCTCCTGAATCTGCATGTAGCCAGATGATTCTATGGATGACCTTTTTCAGATTCCAATGGCATCTTTACATACTGGCTTCAAAGCAAAGATTGACAGTAAGGCTATAAAAATAGAATGGATTAAGCTTTGCAAAAAAAAAGGTAATGGTAACAGGAAATCCCTGTTTAGCTTTTCTGTAACATGTCATGTAAGAAAACATAAGAAATATATATGGTATATGTATGGCTGACTTAAGTGACTAAGCATGGACCTGCCTCACATCAAGTGTATACAGAAAATCCTTAAGAATCTCAAACTCTTAGTGCCCTGCAAAAGTCATAATGGATCAGGTCAGCACCATTCAAAACTACAAAAGGCTTCCCCCAAATAGGTCAACTGCCACCACTAAGGAAGTTAAATGTTCATGAAGAACAGCAACATAGGCAGTTGAGAAACTGGTGATTTGGCACAAATGAAGACTTTTTACAGCATTTAGCTCCAGGTTAGCACCACTCAAGTCATACAATAGTTTATTGTTTACTTTTATCTCAACATAGATGCGATTAGAAGCAAAAGCCTGACCAATTCAGCCTTAGGACACAGAAACAGCTAAATAAGAAACTCATTGCTTTGGTGGGATCAGTATGCCCATAACCCTATCCTGGCCTGCTTTCTTGATTGCAGACAAGCTCAACAGTGTCACAGCTGGGTTTACTAGAACGTGAATGAAACAAGAGGACTTCAGTCTGTTGCTTCTTTAGGCTCACATTTCAGTGAGTGCAGAAAATGGTGCTATACTGGCTGTGGGCAAATATGTGCTGCACCCAGCTGCCTTCATTTCATACCCTATTAAACCATCCCACAGGGAGATTTTCCATTCTGCCTGAAAGCAGGCCTTACTGCCTTTTCTAGCCTACCCAGAAGTGCTTACTTCAGGAGGAAGAAAGACGCAGTCTATAATCAGCTTGGGCATATGCAGCCCTACTGTACCTCCTGTTCCCACAATGAGATGTCACATCCCTAAAAAAGTGCAAAATCTGTCTTTCTCTTAAAGAAGGCTCCAGAGGTAACCATCCACTCAGTTGGTGACCAGCTTCAGGACAGTGCAGTGATTTGGAAGCCAGCAACATGCTCTCCTCTGGAGTTGCTTACTAGTTAAAATAATTGTTATTAGGAACTTAATTTTACATAAGGAATTATTAGTTAATCATAAAGAACAAAACAGAGGTCTTGGATTACACTTTGTTAATAACAGTGCATGAACAAGGCAACAAAATCATGCAGTACTTGCAGTGCTTTTGTGATGCATTTCAGAGGAACAAAACTGGGAATGCCAAGTCCTTTGAAAACTGATTATTACTAGAATGCAGTAAATAGCTCACATTACATGGCCAAAGTGGAACTCACTACACTCTTTACACAAACTGTCACCAGCACTATTTTTTGACATTACAAAAAGAACCATCCTGAGCTACCACTCTCACTTTCTGGGCAAGCACTGGCAGCAGGAATCAGCCTGTCTCACTAGTGTTATCTTAGAAAATGAAGAAGCCATGAATAAATTGTCTTAATTTAAATCTAGAAAACAAGTGTATTACATATAAAAAACACTTACTTGTGAAAGAACTGAAGGACCACAGCAGTATTAAACTATTAGAGAAATAAAGTGGGCAACCTCATCTGGACAAATAAGTACTCATGATTTCATTTTTAAGAAGTAAATGACAATTGTACAGGAGTTCTATTCCCTATTACAACATTACAAACTGTAGAGTAAAAAACAAATTAGCTGTATTTTTTTAGAAGTTTTTCAAACAATACCCAATCTCTGCATCTGAATTTCAAATAAAGGTTTCTAAAGTCTGAGATACTTTTCACATCTTAGGACACACACTCAGTTTCATTGTTCACAGCTCAGAATGAAAAAAAAAGAATAAAAAAATAAAAACACCAACCAAAAAAAACCCCAAAAACCTAGCTCTTGTGAGATTCTACATGCTGCCTTAAAATCTTCATTCCTAGTTTTCTCCTTCATGCTAACAGCTATGAGCTGAACCATTATGAATGCTTCCAGATAGAAAAATTGAGTATTTACAACAAAGTTAAAAGCTGTACAACCAAAAAGTGTCAGAACAAGACACAGAGATGACAAATTAACCATACAGCATGATGGAAGTTCAAATCCTTGAGACAAGGACCACCACTAAACTGTGGGGGAAGGTGGCAGAAAGTACTGAGCTCTGGAAATGCCTAAGTCTCCCTAGGGAAGCAGTATGGCTCCTACTTAAGCTCTCTTTCCTGGGAAGCTCTTAATTTATGTTTACACTGAAATAAACGGAACAAAACAGTTTATTTGTGGGGGAGCATCTGAGAGGGTGGTTAGTACAGCCCTGGGGATGCAGCAGGAAGTGGGATAACCTCAGAGCCAGGCCCAGCAGAAAGTACATGAGGAACATTAGTTTCCATATATACAGCTCTAGAGACACAACTAAGGAAGGAAAAGGGAGAAGCCAAAAAAAGAGGCAGCTGAAGTGGTTTTTGAAAAAAGTGCCTTTTTTTCAGCTAGCCAATACAGTGCCATTTCACTGAGACTATTAACTAACTCATAAATCCCTATGTATGACCAGGTCCTTCAACTTTGAACCAAGGCATCAGAGTCAGTCAGGAGAAATTATGGTGGAAGAGGTGGCTAGTTTTGGGAGTTAACTGAACAACATATTAGTCATGGTTCCTTGATTCCTGTCTTATTACCCCCAAATATCCAAAGATGCATTTATGCTGGAGTATTGAAAGCTGCAGAATTGTCAATATCTAAGTGCAACTCAAGGACCACATAAAAGGATGTGACCTGTCACAGCTGGTTCAAATATAAGTTCCAATACCTAAACACAGGATAGCCGAAGCCCAAGCCTTTGGCCTTTGGTTTAAGCCCTGACTGAGACTTTATCTTCCTGCATGCATCCACATGAGTGAAGGACGGCTAGGAGCAGGAGGAGGCCTCTTTAGGGAAGGTTGGGAAGCAGCCACTGGAAAGTGGGAGAAGGCACACTGCGGTACCAGCCGCTGCTTCCTGGAGCCCGTCCCAGCATGTGCTGGCAGTGAGCTCCCCAGAGCTTTGCCAGCAGCACATAGCTGCGCGCAGCTCCTGCCAGGAACGGCCTCGGACACCCCCACGCGGCGCTCTCGCACCAGCACAGATCATCGCCGCCGCTCCAGGCACTGCTGCACACGGCTTCTCCCCATCCTCACACGCACTAGGAAAATGCAAAACTACATTGCTAGATGGCTCAAGAGAAAACAGCAAATGCTCTAAAAATGTGTTTAATCACTCACTTCTTTGCAAGGGCACTAGTAAATCACCAACTTTCCAGCACTTCCCTAAGTTCATTTTCAAGTCCCTTTTCATCATCCTAATTTAATTTCTTGCACGAAACTCTAATCAATGGTACTGACACATGGTGAACTAAGATTCCATGCTCCCTTCCCTCACCAAGGCCTGTGCTGAGGAAAAAAGAAACAAATGCTGAGGAAAAAAGAAACAAATCAAAACAACCAAAATAGTATCCAGCTTCCTTGCACTAGGGTATGCACATTTCTCTCCAGCATGACAAAGCTGGAGGCTTCAAACAGTGGTCAACAGGCAAGCAACAAAGATGTCCCCAGTGTCTTACCAAAGCAGCTGCCACGATGTGAAAGAAAACTTTTACAGGCTGAGGCAATGGACAGCTCAGCAGAAACTAAAGTCTTGATAATCAGGTCCTCCACGCTGGCCATCAGTGCTGCAAGGAGGGGAGGGTGGGGGGGAAAAGGAAAAAAGTAGATTGTGGAGTAAGACATAATATTCAGAAAGGCACAAGAATATGCACATGTATATACACCTTTGTGAATCAAAGCACATGAGACCCTATGCATGACAAAGCAATGATGCTTGGAAATCCATGCAAGCCCAAGAATATAGAGACATGCATAAGTATCCTAGTGCAAAAGTACTCACAAATGAGAAAGTGAGAATGGTAAATGTGAGTATATATGTACAGTGCAGGTAAGCAGAAACATATGGCAAACACATCAGCACAAGTCAGCTGGAGTCTGACCACTGCCCACTCAGAGTATTAGGATTAAAAAAAAGAGTTAAACAAGAGTGGGTTAGTGAGAAGCCCTCAAACTACAGAGAATAAGCCATACCACCGTGATATAAAAATTTTTCTTGTGAACTTTTATGAGATAACTATTCTGTGACACTGCACCTTCCTCTAAAGCAGCTGTTCCTGTACCAAAATCCGTAAATCTTTTCAAAATTTTATGACTGGTGACAGTTCCCAGTCATGCTGACCTACAGATAACCCAAAGTAAGCTCTCCCCACTTTCCAGCTCCTGAATGAGCCTGTGAACAGAGCTCAGGAACAGGAGTCTGAGCAGACAGAAGAAGCAAAAGGCAAGAAAAGATGCACATTAGACATAGACCTGGATTCTACACTGGACTTGGGATGAGTCATGCAATAGAGAGGATAGCACACTGGTTTTGTTTTCAAGGACAAGCAATAGAAAATTGAGAGAAGGGAGAAATGAACAAATACTGGAGTCATAGTCTCAGAAGTTAGTTAAAGATGAAAGGACAGCCTTCCCCACCCCTCAAAGGGAGCACTAGCAAATCCACACAGACATCTGGCAATCCCTGCTTCAAAGTGTATCTTCTAGAAAACACTTGACTAGAGAGTTTACTTTAGGTCTACAATTACTATTTCTCATGCTCAGATGATGGCATGCAGGGACCTGAACAATTACAGAAAGAGCATGCAAGCAAATTCAGATGTGAACTTCTGTACCAGAAAACAACTAAGTGAAACCAACACAGCATGGAAACATCCCAGCACACATAAACAAACCAGAGAACAAAAACCCTGCCAGCCCAGACAAGGCCAGCACTTTTCAGCCAGCATTCTGCCTCCCTATGACCAGAACCAGATGCATCAGAGAAAGGTGCAAGAAGTCTTGTAATGGATAGTTCAAGAAATCTGCTTGCATTGCTCAGTAGTTTATTTAATTATTTAGAGTGTATATTTTATACTTGAGGTTGGGGTGAGGCATGGAAATATATCAATATTAATAAATATGCATTCACAGCTTGCTGAACACATATGATACAAGGTATTGGACAGCCATGAATGCACATGATGGAAAAACAGTCTACTTCCATCTGAAAGCCAGATTCAAACCCCTTTCTCCAGCATTTGAGTATTCCTTGGCAACATCTGCAATATGGGCCATAGCTGCTATCAGTAATTTTACTGATGTCTCAGTATCACATGTAAATTATCCCTTAAAGGATATACCCGGATTCTGCTCTGCAGATGGAGTTACTCCCAGCAGACCTGGCAAAGGTGTGGAAGAGGGAGCTACTTTATATGAAACACAGACTAAATGAAAACACTCAGCAAAAACCTGAGCCATGGAAAGATGACACCACATCCAAGAGTCATTCAAACTGGCACAGTTGTCCAGAGGTTGGTCACTCATCAGACTGAACAGGTCATGGGAGCAGTAGAGGGAGGGAAGCTTTTAGAAGGAATGGAATGACCTTAAGAAACGGGAAATGTAGGTAAAATATTAAGAAACACACCCCGAGAAAGTCCCAGAATACTAGTTGCAAAAAGGAAGGGGTTAGGCCTTATCTCTGGGGATAGGGAATAAAATGCACAGCTCTAGTAAATAATGAACAATGCTTCCCTCCACCCTGCTCTGGTGCTAAATGGAACTCACTGGGGCTCTTCCTTGACTTCTTAGAATTCACACTAGTGAGATGATCAAGATCCAACAAAGAAATAAAAGAACAAGATTTTTACTGACCTGCAGTATCTCTCCCCTCTTGTTTTAAGTACCTCAGCATTGCACTCATGCTCCACTTGTTTCCATAATCCTCTACTTCAGGATCATCACAGCTAAAAATAAATGAAAGAGGGAGGCTGACACCACTGGCCTACCTCTGTGGATCAACATTAGACCAATTTAGGTAAACTGACCCAACCTCTAAAGAATGAGTTCCATTTTCCATCCAAGTACCTGACATAATCTCCACTCTTCTTGTTGACACTGTAGTTGGTCAGATGCATGAACTGGTTTTTGATGTTCTTGGATGCCTGGTCATACCTCACTGTTGCAAATCTGTAAAGAGGAATAAAAATTCACAGTATTTCTTGAACAAGGGGCATTCTTGCCAGATACAGCAAGTATGCCACTACAAATCACAGACTACCACACAGACCACTCAACAGCAACACCTAGGGAGAGAATGCATGTAAATAAGACTTCATCAAATGCAAAATACAGTTTATCCTCAAAGGACACATCAGGCAAAAAATAATGTAATAGAATGTGAATATAATGTAATAGAATAGTTGCAGCTGGAAAGGACCTACAATAGTAATCTAGCCCAACTGCAATCATTTTCTTACATTACATGTAATCCCGCTTCAATACATATTTTAGGCCTCAGACTTTGGAGAAAAATAAATTTTAAAAAACGAAGGGCAGAATCCAGAGCATCTGGTAGGTAGAATGACCAGTATGAGGCACTGATAATCACCATAGCTCGTAACAGCAAGCACGTCCCAGTTCAAAAAACCCCCCAAACAACAACAAAAAATCAACAAGAGAAAAAACACTTTCACTCTGACAATCCTCCTGAGAGAACAAGAGCTTAAAGTGTCAATGTCTCAAAAGAGATAAGGGGAGTAAGAAAAAGTAAGGGGAGAGTCAAACACATGCTATCCAAAGAAGCCCCAGCAAGAGGAAAAGTATGTACCAAGGAGAGCAGGATTAGCTGCATAAAAAGTAAGTATGGGGGACACCTCAATGCAAGAAAAAGGAGACAGGATTCAGGAAAAATGGAAGAGGGAGAGAAAGTTGGATGATCTGCTTATGCAATGAAATAATATTCAGAAAATAATGCCTCTGCAATTTTTTTCATTAATAGTCATCTCTCTTCATCCTTCCCCAATTATTTCCCATAGTTCAGAAGAAGCTGAACTATACAAAGACAGCTATCAAGTTACACAAAAAAATAAAGTAAAAACACAATCCTTCATTTAGAAAGAACTGCCAAAAAAACAAAGACATTAATTCTCAGTTAAAACGACACCACTACTGCCCTCCCTTGGTAGCCATTTTGAGAAATACCTGTTGCCTTAAGAACTATACCAGCAAATCTAGGTAAATGCTTAAACGTATCCTTAAATACACATGTGGAAACAGGAGGAAAAAACCCAAACAACCCATGATATAAGTAATTTTAAGTGGCAAGGTTAAAAGAGTGAAAAATATTTTGCACTATATTTTTCTCAGCTTTAACTTCATATGAAGTCAGAGCAGCTGGCAACAAAAGTATTTGGAAGTTTGGATCCTCTTTCCACATATTTCCACAGCTTAAACTATTTGAATTTCTTTTCAGTTTAACTGTAAGTTTCCTGGATTTAGCACTTCTATTTTGAAAAGAATGACAAAAGCCCTGTCATATATTTTGTTCTTATTTATGATTTCATCATCTCCATCTTAACAATCATTTACTGGAAGCATACTAAAAGTATTTGTTGCAATATACTTTCAGCCAGATCCTGGAAGATACTGAGCACAATCAGAGAGCCATTTCAAGTCCTCCTAGGTACTTCCAAGCAGAGGGCAATTAGGTTCATCATGCTTCTCAGCTTATGCTTTCAATTTTTCATCCTCAAATATGAGAATAGGAACCCCTGGCAGACACAGACAACATTCTAAACAACAATATTTCTGTACCTTCAAATGCTTGCATTAGCTTCCTTCTACAGAGGACATCCTTAATTATTAGGTGGTCTGAGCTCCATGCTCAGAATTTTATATTTCCATGGGGACTGTCTATTCAGAAGTATTTCACTGTGTTTCAGAGCTCCCAGTACCTAAGCTTTCTCTTTTACTAGGATGCTATCATCTTGAAGGACATCATGGGCAACTTCAGCAATGCATCATAAACTTCCAGAACATTTAATTACTCTTATCTACTATCAAAAAAGCCCAAGCTTTAAATAACATAACGCAATGCTTATTACTACATTCACCCAGAGCTGGTTTGACCAGCCTCATGCTAAGTGCAAGCCTGCAAATGGAAAATCCAAGCTATTTCTAGAGCTTCTATCAATAGCCTCTGGATGTCAGAATAGTAACAGATCAGAATACAATGCTAGCACATAGCCCACACTCCTTACACTTTTGTGTTTTGCACTTGCTTGAGACAGAAGAGTGTTACTATCTCTGAAATACCAGTCACAATCACTTTCAGTACTCTACAGTTCTACAGCTTTTCAGAGTATATTTTACTGGATCTTTCTTCCACTGTGGTAACTGTATGCTCTTCATTCACCACACTTGTCTCCAGGAAGGACAAGAGATTTGCAGGCTACAGAATGTCTTGCTTCAGCAGAAATTTACCATTATTTTAGAGATAGCAAGGTCATAGGAAAAGGCCTTACAGTAACAGTGAAAAACAGAAAAGGAATGCTTGTAAAATTTTCTAGGTGTTAACTTGAAATTAGAATTAACTCTTGAGGAATCTTATAATATTTTAGAAGATGACTTCATTTAAGGGCAATGCTCTTTTCCAATTTCATTCTGGGCCACTACTAAGAATAGAATATATGTTACTTAAAAGATAAGGGCCAAGATCCTAAAAGCAATTAAAAAAACTATATGCTAAGCAGGGACAGAAAATAAAGGGCAAGCCTCATGTTTTCCTAGTAACAGAATTACCACAAGCATATGCTGCAATATTTTGCATGAACAATTTTTCTAAACACCAAAGGCTTCATGCCCAGGTGTCTCATATTGCTATGACCCAGCCAAAGAGTGATGAAGGCACAAGTACGTGAGTCCAGATCACCATCTGCCAGGATAGGACTGTTTGTGAGCCAAAGCATTACTCGTGGATGCTGCTATGTGGGAGCCTGCAATCAGACAGGAATCCAAGAGTACTCCTAAACCAGAGGCTGGACTGTCTACACGTGGAGGCCCATCTTCAGCCAAAACAGACTATTTTATCATGGGAAATTCATCTAAACACTATCTTATGCTTACTAGTACCATCTCTTCTTACTCTGCTTCAAGGAACTGTCATTTTCCCCCACTGTGGTCTGTTCCTGTCCAAGTTCTGGACTACTCCATAGACCTTGCAATGCAGAGACCCAAAAGACTTAACAGGCATCACTGAGAAAGTGTGTGTGGGCCGAGTGGTTCAACAACTAGATCCACACTGCTTTTAATTCTTACATAGAATTTTCCTGTAGGACTTGTCAAGTGGAAAAAAAAAACTAGGAAAAGGTAAAATTTTCCACTATTAGTCAGACAGGAAGGTTTTCTGCCACTTCAGTGCATTCTTCTGTCCCCACTTCATCTAAACCAGCAGTTCTTCTTATTGTTAACAATGTGAAATACTATGCAGGTAGCCAAGAAAGGAATGGATGTCTGTTCTGTATCCACCATCTAAAGAATATCAACTCTCTTTTGGCCTGAATTCAGATTTGCTTTCTCTATAACACAAGTTCTAACCACCAGTTTTCAAAGTTGAATGACTGAACTTTCTTTCACCTGCCACCTCTCCAATGTACTTGGAGAGGGTGCAGGAGCAGAAGATGCAAGAGGAATGGCCCTCTCTGACACCATTAACCTGGGTCATCTCTGAGATATGTATTACAGAGAAATAATTACACAGTTCAGAGCAGCAGGAATATAGGAAGCACCTTCCCGTGTCCTAATGTTATGTATTGCTTGCATTCACTGTTGAAAATGAACTGCAAGTGATACTAGAGATATCCACTTTCTTTAACTTGTTTACCTGGCCTTACTGCAGTCACATTCTCTCAAAGATCCTCCCCACCTAATGAATCTTGTCCTTTTAAAGTCTGAGGAAAGGGCTAAGTTAAGAAAATTAAGGACACATTCTAACACGGTATACAAGAGGTTAGATGCCAAAAGCCTCTAAGCAGAAATATTACATGAGAGCTTCTACCCCAAAACTACCGCTGGAAATAGGAAAGGTTAAACTGAGGTTGACTGTGCATTGTTCAGTTTCCACACTAACTGCTGCCTGTAATACAGCCTCCCAGGCAGAAGTATATGCAATCATATTGGGAACAGTCCCAGCAGACTCCCTCTCTCACTGCAGTTTTTCCTCCCCCAGCAGGACAGAGGAGATGCCCTTCATTTCTGAATTCAAAGCTTAGAATAGAGAAGTGATACTTGCACATTCCACTGTTCTCATACATCTGTTCATGTCTCAGCTGGTCACAGACAAGTCACACAGGTGTATTCCAGCTTGGGTGAAGGCAACAACCCATTCTCTATACCAGCAACTATGCACTACTACACAGCTCACCTTCCCCAACAGCACACTTCACTTCCCTCTAGCTGTACTTCATCTTGGATCAGAGAGGAAGAAAGAACAATCAAAAGCAAGCAGAAGGGTGGAAGTAGCAGCAGCAGGTAGCTTGGGCAGCACAAAAAGAAAATTAAGGGAAAAATCCTCACTAATTCCTTCAGACTTCAGAACTACTCTCAACCTCCAGACTAACAGTATAACATCTGGATACATCCCAACTTTCTGCTTCCCCGTCATGCTTCAGGTTCACCTTTGGTACTCAGATACTGACAGATTCCAGTCTTCCTTCCCTTTATTGTAAGAGTTCATTAAAACCCTCATAACCACACTTAAGCCTTAAGAAGGTCACCTTCTCCACAAGTGCCATGCAAGCTTTTTCCCTGCTCACCTAGCAGTCTATAAAACATGTCTGAGCTCACCCTGAAAAATCCCCAAATCTACCACACCAAACTTTGGCCCTTTACCCACATCCCTACACTGCCTTAACCCAAACAACTACCCTTTTACTGTCATAGCTTCAGGCAGGAGAGTACCCAAGGGATTGTACAACGCTCTTTGCCTTATCTTCAGCATTACTTCAGGAGATGAATTAACCACAAGGTAAAGTTTGCAAGTCATTTCAGAAACACGTAAACTGGATCATTAAATATTTACAGAAGATGTTACATGGTTTTGCATGAAACTTGACAGCTCTGGAATGCTTATTTGAGGCATCTAGTCAGAGCCTGGGAAAGGAAGAGAAGAAGGGGAAAGACTCTGGAGT